CTGTTTGAAAGAAAACATTTCATAAGAATCAATATCAACTCCACCAATGTTTATAAAGACAAAACACAGAAGGCTCCTATCCAGCTAAATGTCTGGCAATGTGTGTGTGTGTGTGTGTGTGTTTTTTTTTTTTTTTTTTTTTTAAATAAAACCTTCCTAATCCCCACTAATGCTCACAGTTTGGAGGTCTTTGATTTGGGACAAGACTGCAACTGGGAGGTATTAAACTCGTAAGTCAGGCTTATTTTCTTCCTTTTGTCAGGAGTCATTGCAAATGATCAATAAAGTAGTCTTCATAGGTAAGCTATCACACGAGTGGGTTTGATTTTCACAGCTCTCATGATTTACCACCTTTTAGGGTTAGATGGCAAAGGGAAACAATGCACATTGTGAGATACTTACCAACTATTTTGTCTCTCCTTTAATTTATACAATAACTCTAAGAACCAGACTTTTAACCTCCTTTTACTGATAAAGGAAACTGAAGCTCAGAAAAACTGTGTACTATGTCAAAGTTCACACAGCTAATAAGTGGTGCAGCCAGAATTAATCCAGTCTGATTTCAACATCTATAGTACTTCTGTTACCTGTAGCACCTCAGCTTTGGCAATACCACAGAAGTACTGGCACTGACTTCAAATAGACTGCCTTACCATTTTACCTTTTATTCTTGCCCCTGAAAACTCACAATGACAACCAATGCTCGTGGCTAGGTCTCACTTTTGCTTTCGTCAGTCAAATTCTACTTATTAATCACTTTATTAAGGGTCAGTTGTGTTAATCCCCGTCTTGTTTATGCTACCTGTACTCATGCTAGTAACTAAGTTACTTATTATGCAAATTAATGAAATATGAATATAAATATGAATTAGTGAAATATAAATATAAAAGACATTGTTTCTATGGAAGTTAAGCTGAAAATTTCAATAAAGTAGCCTGGGGATAAAAAACTGCTGTTTTATGGGTCAAACAACTACAAAAGCCTCGGGTAAAAAAAGTAAAATAATAATTTGTCTTCTCTGTAAAGATCCTGCTCCATTCAAAAGAATGAGATACTGGGGCTGGCTCTGTGGCGCAGCAGGTTAATCCTCCACCTGTGGCACCGGCATCCCATATGGGCGCTGGTTCTAGTCCCGGCTGCCCCTCTTCCAATCCAGCTCTCTGCTATGGCCTGGGAAAACAGTAGAAGATGGCCCAAGTGCTTGGGCCCCCACACCCACATGGGAGACTGGGAAGAAACACCTGGCTCCTGGCTTCGGATTGGTGCAGCTCTGGCCATTGCGGCCATCTGGGAGTGAACCAATGGAAGGAAGACCTTCCTCTCTGTCTCTCCCTCTCACTTTCTGTAACTCTGTCAAATTATTAAATAAAACCTTTAAAAAAAAGAATGAGATACTTTACAGAATACAGGTGCTGAATATGGTCTTATTCAAAAATGACTACCCTAGGGGCCGGCACTGTGGCTCACTTGGCTAATCTTCCGCCTGCATCCCATAGGGGCACCGTGTTCTAGTCCCGGTTGCTCCTCTTCCAGTCCAAGCTCTCTGCTGTGGCCTGGGAAGGCAGTGGAGGATGGCCCAAGCACTTGGGCCCCTGCACCCGCGTGGGAGACCAGGAAGAAGCATCTGGTTCCTGGCTTCGGATCAGTGCGGTGGTGGCTGTAGCGGCCATTTGGGGAGTGAACCAATGGAAGGAAGACCGTTCTCTGTCTCTCTCACTGTCTATTTCTATCTGTCAAAAAAAAAAAAAAAAAAAAAAAAAAAAAAGACTACCCTCATTGGCAGATCCAGACTCAAAGGATTGTGTCCCCAAATCCTAGGCATATTTAACATTAAATAAAATATTCAAGAATTACATAACTTTTCATAATTCCAAACTTAAACCAACTTGGGTAATCACTGTTTATCAGTGCCAAGTGTGTAAGGTTTAAGGGTTTTATATTATAATATGAAGTGTCAAATACACAATTAAGGCATAAAACCTTGGAGTTGCACTTTTCAAAGACCTTAACATGAAGCTTGTCAGAACAGATTTGTTCTCATAAACATACCACGCTACACCTTGTTCCTCAGAATACAGAAGCCAGGGACATCCTGTTGACAATTTGAGGTCTTTTCCTTAAATTGCCCTTTCCTATTCCCCCCCAAACAAACGGATCATGTGTAAAAACCCAGATTTTACTAGTAAATAATTTCTACCTTGCATAACTGCAACAGGTTCCCACCCCACACTAAACAGGTCTCCTTCCTCCAGTCTTATCTTATGCCAATCAATTTTCTATACTTTTGTCAGAGGATGCTTTCTAAATAAAGCACAGATCACACGATCACTTCTTTGCTTTATCAGTCATCTTTTACCACAAGGATAAAGTCTAAACAGCACAGTGCACAACTCTGCTTTCATGGTCTCTCTGCCTCTCTCTAGCTTCGCCTCCTGCCACTTCCATTTCCCCCTTCTCTCACTCCTTAAACCCTGTAGAATGCTTTAGTTATATTAACCTCCTGTGGTACATGTCAGTGCTTCCTTGCTTCTAGATCTCGAATACGTCTCTATTTTTGCCTCTTTACTCCTAGCTCTGTTTGCTTTAACTCCTGTTAGTCCTGTAGGTTTTAGGTTGGATGCCTCATCCTCTACAAAGCTTCTATGTTTGTGTGACCTCTCTAGCATTCCCAAAGTGAAAGTTGACTATAATGTAAGGAGATACGTGGGTGGCTATGTTTCATTTGTTGAAAAACAAAATTAAATATATATATATATATAAGAACCCTGTGCTGGGAGCTGGTTCTGTGGTGTAGTGGGTTAAGCCTCCACCTGCGGCATCGGCATTGGCATCCTATATAGGTACTGGTTTGGGTCCCAGTTGCTTCACTTCTGACCCAGCTCTCTGCTGGTGGCCTAGGAAAGCAGTATAAGACGTCCAAGTGATTGGGCACTCACACCCACATGGGAGACCTGGAGGAAGTTCCTGGTTCCTGGTTTTGGATCAGCCAAGCTCTGGTCATTGCAGCCATTTGGGGAGTGAACCAGTGTATGAAAGACATCTTTCTCTCTGTAACTCTGCCTTTTAATAAATCTTAAAACATATCAAAACAAAGAATCTTGTGTTTTTTATGCATATTTCTCTGAAGCTAATCTTTGTTGTGCTTTAAGACTTTTGTGTTCTGACACCATATTGCTAATCCAATCTTGTTGAAAGGAGTTGATTATGGTAACCTCACTTGCAGTATATTCAAAACAACTTTACTTACTATACTGAACTTTTGGATTTTAACCACAAATGAAGATCCTGTTCCCCCTTTCAACAAACTGTGGAACTTCCCTTCCTCAAAGAGCTTTCCCAGGTTTCTAATTTTTCCTTCATTATATTACATTTTCAAAAATCTTGCTGTTGGTGAAGAGAGCTAGATTAAGAAGAGGGGAGCTAAAGACTAAATTACCAGTTAAGGAAGTAAACCCAACAAACTAATGTTAAAGATGCTGAAACTTTAAGGCTATATTCATTTGAAAAGAGCGTGGGAAGAAAAGGGGCTAATAGCAAATTGCAATCATGTAAGGGCCAGGGGAAAGGGGTGATCTGAGAATCTATCAAGAAATTGTTGGTGAGTCAATTTTCTGCCTCTGTAAGACATGGAAACTTTCATTATAAAGCACTTCCATCTACAATGAACTACAGGAAGATGAAACTGGTGATGTGGCACAAGTTTTATCTACAAATGAACTGGAATATGAGAGCAATGAAACTTCTCTACTATTTGCTTATCCTTTACATAGGCAAAATGTCCAGCAGACTCCCTCATTCAGACTAGTAGGTGTGGCTTGGGGCTGAGATGAAATCACAAGCCACTGAGCAAGAAGTGTTTAATGGAGAGATGCCTAAGAAATCCCAAAAGGGGTATGTGAATTCACAACTAGTCACACTCTCCACTCTGGGAGATGTTATTATTCAGTTACATGACTTCACATTCTGCGCTGCAACAAGCAGGCAATCTGCTGGAATCACATTCCCAGCAGACAGTCCTGCTCATCCTGCAGAAAAATATCGGGCAATTTCTATTAGGAAAAGGGAGAATTAGCCTAAGGATCTAAGGTCGACTCCTTTCAACGTTTACTATTAGAACACTGACTTAAGTAATCGCTTTAAATAAATATTTCTTCGACTATAAGCAATTGTCAGTTGCACTACAGCAAAACATTTTCTGTTTGATACCTAGTAGATATACGCCCCCCCCCCCAAAAAAAGCCCAGATTTATTTATTTATTTATTTATTTGAAAGGCAGAATTACAGAGTGAGAAGCTAGCGCTGGGCTAGGATGAAGCTGGGAGCTTCTTCTGGGTCTCACACATGGGTGTAGGGGCCCAAGGAGTTGGGCCATCTTCTGCCACTTTCCCAGGTGCATTAGAAGGGAGCTGGACTGGAAGACTGTGCAGCTGGGGCTTGAACTACTGCCCTTATGGGATGCCACTGCTGTAGGTGGCCATTTAGCCCACTGCAACACAGCACCAGCCCCAGATAACTGTTTTAACCATAGCAATACATTTAAAGCTACACAAGACACTATCTGGCCTACGGTTGGCACTAACAAATGGGGTGTTTAATACACGGGTCACTGGAAAGAGATGTTTGAGTTTGGACTACATCTGAGGGGATAAAGTCAGGAGACAGGCCTACCCAAAAGGGCCACTAGCAATGAAGTACAGAAAGAAAGAAGGGGATGAAGACAAAGTTAACCCCTTTGAAGTTATCACCAATAAAAACAGGAAAGTACTCCTCTCCCTAAATTTTCAGGAGAGTTTTAAATACAGTACCTTAATTCAGACTGGGAAATAGAAACTTCACCAACTGTAACATTGTTTTTACAGGATCATATATATTCTGAATTTCAAACAACTAACACAGTACTTTCGGACACATTCTAAAGTTGGACACCACTTGAATAGGTAGTGTTTTTATTTTGTTAAAAAGATTTATTTGAAAGGCAGAGTGAGAGAGAGATCTATT